TGGTTAAGGATAATGGACAGTTCTTCAGATAATCAACATAAACAGTATTGTTCTCAAAGAATTATAGTCGAACACACCCAATGCATCTGTTGGGAAAGCTAGTATTTTCCTAAGGAAATAAGTTCCGAATTTTCCAAATAGATGCTCGATACTTTTTTCTAATTTACTTTTTCTACTTTTTTCATTTCTTTTTAACACTGGGAACATTTCTGCATTCTGCTGTTAGCCTACTTCTCTTCCTGTATGATTCCCAACCAGGGAGGAAGGGGCATACCATGCTCTTGGTACACATTAGAATCGTGGGGTGCAGTGTGATAACGATGGATAATTCAGAAAATCACGTTCAATATAAATACATTTTTTCTGAAACACACAAAACCAAACACAAAATTGTGACTGATGGTGGATGTACAGAAGATAGAGTAGGGTAAGGGTGAGGCAAATGGTTGAAAATGAAGGAGAAACACGGCCGTACGTGCACTCATAGAAGCCTAATTGGCTCGTACACATCTCAAGGTTTTAGATTGAGGTTGTTTGCAATAATAGCACCTCCATCCATCCACTCATCGAGCCTGAAACCTCATCATTTCACGTCATAACTACAACTAAGTCCTGCTGAGTTTTCTTGCTGCACATTGTTTTTTTGTCTTTTGAATGAAGGTGTTGTACACACACTATAGTTTGTGAAGCTCTTACTCCTGGCTTAGTTCAGGCCCTAGTCCTCTCTTTCCTAAACAGTTGAAGTAAAATCCTAGCTGGGTTTCTTTCTCAGATTCTCTTCTATACCAACACTAATCCTCTCACGACTTAAATATGACCATGTTTGGTAAGGGAATTTACTTTGCACATGTGTCCTTTATTCTTGCTGTTCCATTGGCGTGTTGTGTTCTCACCCTTGAACCTCTTTCCTGAACTCAGGGAATGTCCTTTACCTCGTATGTCATAGAAGTAGTTTTTGCCTCTGATGGAACACATACTTTATTATAATAACTCAATTGTTTCCTTGCCCATCAAATTGTGTGCTCTTCAACATAAGGATTACGATTGATCTTTGTGTTTCCAGCACAGTGATGTTCCCAGCACAGTGACTAGCACATACCATAATAATTGCTCAAATGTTTGCTGACTGAAGTGTGAAGTCAGTTGAGACCTTTGAGTCAGATAAAATAATGCTGTGTTTGTTTGAAAAGCAAAAATAATATGAAGTAATAGCTAGAATCTCAGATCAAAAGACTCAAACTGACATCCAAAATGTTGATATGTAAAGAGGTGCTATATCGCATGCCAGTGATGTATGCAAAACAGTTATAAACCTTTTTTTTAACATATCTTTATTGATTTCAGAGAAAGGAAAGGAAGTGGGGGAGAGAGAGAGAGAAACATCAATGATGAGTCATTGATCGGCTGCCTAGCCTGCAACCCAGGCATGTGCCCTGACCGGAAATCGGACCCCGATCTCCTGGATCCTAGGTCAATGCTCAACCGCTGAGCCACGCTCGGCTGGGCTGTGCTTATTTTCTATGGAATTGCTTTTGACCCTTTCCCATCGTGTTCATCACTGGTACTATAATACTTGCATAACAGATATCATATTGGTCTTCCCAGGAAGTCACATTAGAATTGGATGTAAAGTTTTTCTATTGTTTGAGCTTGGTATTTACTGCATCTGGAAATACCAGCTCACTTTTTCCTTTATCCATATGTTTTATTTTAAAAGTGAATTTCTTAGTAAAGTAGCAGAACTTGGAATTCATTTTGCTGTTAAAAACAGTACTCTTAGTGGTACTTAAGTTCTCAGACTAATTCACAAAGCCTCCCCCCTTAGCAGTTTTATTGAGATGTAATTTATATACCATGTAACTTACCCACTTAAAGTACATTCACAGGATTTTGGAACTATCACTACAGTCTATAACTTGAGAACACTTTTGTCTATCCTAAAGGAAACCTCTTACCTATTTCTACACCACCCCACCTCAAGCCCTAAGCAACCACAAATCTCATTCCTGTCTCTAAATTTTTCTTTTCAGAACATTTGATATAAATGGAACCACACAGTATATATGGTCTATTTGATACAAATGGAACCACACAGTATATATGGTCTATTGGCTTTCATTTAACAATGATTCCGTGTTGTAGCATATATCAGTACTTCATTTCCTTTCATGGCCAAATAATATTACATTGTAGGGATATACCACATTTTGTTCTATCAGTTGATAGATTTTATTTTTTCCCTACTTTTTTATGCTTATAAATTATGTTGCTATGAACATTCATGTATGAATTTTTGTGTGGACATAGGTTTTTGTTTTTTCTTTGTATATTCCTAAAGTAGAATTGCTGGGTTATACAGTAACTCTCTGTGACTTTGAGGAACTGCCTAATTGCTCCCCACCTTGGTTGGACCTTTTTACATTTCCACCAGCAATGCATTAAAAAATTTTTAGGACTATGACCTGGATTGTACAATTTGGTAGTTACCGGGTTTCATTCAGTTTCATCTTTTGGCTAACATGAAACAGTTTATCACAGCTACTTAAATCTGTCTTTAAGATGAGAGTAGCAGAAAGCTTTTGACTGCTACTTTTGTTTCTAATTTGGAAAAGTATGATTTCACAGGTTTATGAAGGATAATCTCTCCTAGGATTATTGAAAGGATTAAACGAGGTCATTTTAATGCCTAGCATATAATAGATACTAAATAAATGGCAGCTTTTTTAATGTTTACCATTTGTGTGTGTGTGTGTGTGTGTGTGCAGTGTATGTCAATTGGCTGAAGGCTTTTAATTACCACCTATCACTATATTCCCAAGGATATTTTCCCCCTTGATTTTTAGAGATAGTGGAAGGGAGGGAGTGGGAAGAGAGAGTGAAGCATCGATTGGTTGCCTCCTTCCCATGCCCCTACTGGGGCCTGGAATCAAACATGTGACCCATTAGTGTGGGGGCCGTTGAGAAACACCAGGCAGGCACCACTTACCATTTGAATGAAAGGATTAAGAGAAATCTTAGTAATTGAAGAACAGCTTATCTGGATGCTAGAAATTAAGGTGGGCAGTAATGACCACTAAAGGCACATACGACATTTCTCAAAACATTTGGCCTCAAGAGAGAGTAGTTGCTTTTAGCATGTTTGAAAAGCACCTGACTGTTTTGTGCTGACCCCAGAGTGCTTTAGGTATTATTTATTCAAAAATGATTCAGCTAAGAACTGTGAGGCAGATGGAGATGTATGTATACCCTCATACTGGCATGTTTTAAGGAAGAAATGTGCTAAGTGTGGAAATGTGTAATGAGACCCAACCGAGAAGTATGCATCTATTATGCAAAGTACCCCGGTGCTTATCTTTTGTATGTCACTCTGCACTACTGTGCTGGAACCTACCTGGTGTTCCAGTGTGTATCACTGGTGAAGGGGGAAAGGGAAGAGAAAAATCATGCCTTGAAATTATAGGTCCCTATTAAGCTCTCTTTTATTTACTCTTCGTTGATCTTCATGATAGATTAGAAATGCAGGGACACGTAAGACATGGCAAGAATTTACACCTCTCCTGTTGCCCAGAGCTATCCTTGGCTTACCCAGCTCTCAACCTTGCCCGCTTCGTCTTCCAGTGTGCCCAGTTCCCCATGCGTCAGAACCCTCCTTTCCCTCATTCTGTTACAGCAGTTGAGTTACAGTAATTCTGACAAATCCCTTTCCCCAGTTGTTATTCTTTGAAAGAGGAGGGTCAATAGTAGGAAGAAACCTTACTGGTGTATTTCATTTTAGGCAGAAAAACTGTAGGGAAGTGGCTCACAATTCTGTATATTAGTATCATTTGGGGGCTCATTTACAAAATTCACAAGCTCTGGACCCCCTCCCAAAGATTCTCATTTAATTGATTTGTAATGGGGATGGAGTTCTCTTAAAAAATCTGAGTTTCTTCCAAAGTTTACTAGGTGATTCTGATGTGCAGTCAGAGTTGGGAAACACTGAAGAGTTGCTCTATGTGGATAGGCTTTGTATCCAAAATGAAAGCTTGTCTCTCACCTGGTCTGTCTTGTTTGTGAGATCGGCCCTGGTCAGAGGGAGATAAAACGTCTAGTCTTTCCAGAGGGAAGAATACCCATTTTCTAGATTCTCCTTCACACCCCACCTGCACTAGGTGATGGAATATAGAAGAAACCTCCTCCCCTTCTGGAAACTTCAGTTAAAGGAGATACTCCCACGACAGAGAGTGGGCCATTTCCCTGTAAGCCAAACATGATCTTAATTGGCTTACAGTCTCTGATACAGTGGTCCCTCAGGTTTTGAATGTCTCTGTTGACGAACATTTGGGTTTACGAAAGCTGTAAACCCAGAAGGAAATGCTTCGGTTTTCAAACCCGCCTCGGAATTTGAACATGCCACACGGCTTCCGCTGAGGGCAAGGTCCTAAGGCCCAGCTGTTGGCTGTGGATCCCTCAGTGTTTGAACATTTCAGAACTCGAACGGTCTTCTGGAATGGATTGCATTTGAAAACTGAGGTACCGCTCTACCTTGGGCTGTTTACAGGGTTTCCTAACCTTTTTTTGTGCCATTGGAATTCTTTGGTGAGGTTGATGAAGCCTTGGAGCCCTTCTCAAGTATTTTAAGTGTAGACAGTAAAATACGTAGCATTACAAAGGAAACGAGTTATATTGAAGTACAGTTAATTGAAATAATAAAATTTGTTACAATAATATGCTTCTATGTTGACACATTAAGTAACATTTAGTGGTTGGTCTAGTAACTACCATCATTTTAAAGTAGCGATAAAGATAAACAGTAGTTTAAGATAGCTGTGAAACACTACTGTGGTCCTGAAGCAACTGGTTTCTGTTGGAGACAAACTCACAGGTACTGATAATACCTTGTAATCATCTTTTTTTATCCAGCATTAACTGAGTGTAGTACCCGATTTTATGTAGAGCATTAGCTAGATAGCACTTCTCTGAACTGTCAGAATTCTAATGAAAACTACTTGCTGTTACAGGAATACAAGCGCAAGTTAGCCAGAGTTTCCCTGGTGCGCAAAGAACTCAGGTCCCGGATCCAGAGCCTGCCAGACTTATCTCGATTGCCCAATGTCACTGGCAGCCACATGCACCTGCCCTTCGCAGGGGACATCTACAGTGAAGATTGATGACCAGTCTCTTTCCAGGGCCCAGGACTTTGCAGGAGATGGAGACAGGTTAGGTGGATAGTCCTGTAGCATTATTTTTGTATATTGTTGAGAGAGTGACACTAACAACAACAACAAAAAAGACAAGTAATTTATAAAATTGTTTAAAATGTTGGTTTGTTTACTATTTTACTGGTGAGTTAACATGACTTAGTTTAAACAAAGTGATCTCTGTGTATTAATAAGCTCACAAATAGTGATTATTTTCAAAAGATCTTTTGTAAATTTTTTTGATCCAGGGCCTTGTGAGAAATTCAGTGTTTCTATTCATGTATTTTCAAATGTTTTTCTTTATTTTCTCCAGTATCCAATCACTAAATTGTATGTAATTCCTGAAGGGTAAGAGCTAATCAGGAGTTGGTTGAGACTTAATTATGGTATAGTTAGGACTTGATTGTAGAAGGGACTAAATGTTTCAACTTAATCTTCACCCTTCTGCCCAACCAAAATATCAGTTGTGTGCCTCTCAATGCCTTCGATTCCTTGTTCCTTAGAGGTCAGTTATGTACCACTAACCATGGATGTCATTTTTAGGGTCAAATCAGAGCTTAGAGAACATTTCCACAATAGCATCATAGGGGTTTCCTTCCAGATGCCAGTGTAGAATAAGAGGAGTGTTAAATAGGGACCCCCTTGATTAAAGTATTTAGAATAGTTGATGAGAATAATATGAAATGCTTGGGAAATGTTATAAATTTTGACATTCTACTAAGGGGACAGCTTTCATTTTGTCATATCAGTCTCCTTTTAACATAATTGATTCCTTTAACAGCCATCTATGTGGCTAAAAGAAACAAAATGATACTTTTATTATTCCCATAGCCTTTAACTTTAAAAATAATGGTATTTTTAGCTCTAATATCTCAAGGACACAATATTCATTAATGTTCAGCAAAGTAGTCTGGAACATTTTTAAGGTTTCTGAATGACTGTATATTTGGAAATTAAGCAGTGCTGCACTACAGGGTCGATCTGGTAAATACTATATTTGTCTATTTAGAATTACCAAACAAATGTACTTTTACCTTTCATTTTAACCCTGTGTGTTAGAGCAGTTGCATGCTCTCCTGCTTTCTTCTTAAATCATATTGTTAAGCTGTGGATTTGTACTCAATAATGACTTAGGATAAACATTTTTTTCATTCATTACTTTACATAGTAGTCATTTTTCTTTTTGTTGTAAGCAGATTCAAATTAGATAGTCAATAAAACATCTTTAAATCCCACAAGCCAGTTCTGTCTCACTAGTGTGAATGGCTTCACTCTTTCTTCCTCAGTATTAAAGATTATAATTAAAATGAATTTATATGTGAAGGAGAAGGCAAGTATTTATTTTTAATAGCCAATAGTTCTGGAAACTGCTTCTAACAGTTTGACCTTTCTCCAAAACAGACACATATAAGTGGTCCCTGCTCATATATGGCTACTAGTCCAAAGTTTTTTAGTCACCTTGTGGGAGTTGGGGCACATTTTCTCACAGAAACAATTATAGTTAGGTTCTGTGTGAAAACTCACTGGGAACCTAATCCACTTAACCATGGACGTAGTTCATATTGACATAAGTTAATGTAGTTGACAAATTATTAATAGTAATAGTAGATCCTGACCAGCATTTGTAACATTGTAACATCACTCTAACTGAGGAAATGGTGTGCTACAGTGAAACTCACACATTGGGATGTCTGTCTTGTGTCCCTCTGTTCCTCTGTGTTGGATTACTAAGAAAAAAGATTCCGCTTGGCAGGTGTGTGTAACAAATGCACCACTATAAAAACCTAGTTATACCTGTTATAAAAGTAAAGCACGTAAGTTAGGTTTTTTGTTAAAGTGAAAGCAAAAACTTGTATATTTATTTTCAGCATCTTGACCTTATTTATGATATGCTAAAGTGGTGATTTATTCATTCAAAATATTTTTTTTCCACTTAAAACTAATTTATAAACTGTTTACTCCTGGGAAGCTTTGGAATCTGTTAGAAGTTTGTTGAAATATTTTCACCATTTAAGACAGACTTCTGACGTAGATACTGATTTTAATGCCAGTATCTGCTCTAAATATTTATTATAAAAATGCATTATTTTTTTAAAGAGCTTGATGCAGTTTGTGATAAGTGATAGTACTCAACCTGAATCCGACCCCCTACTCCTACCTTTTGACCAATCCTCCTCAAACCTTCGGTTGTTGGTTAACTCACTAACTGTGAACACAAATGATATGGTGTGGTTTAGAAGTTAACATTTTCAGCCTTATGATAGTTAACATGGTAAGCCTTAGCAGTAAATAGCCTTCTTTTTTAAAAGGTAGGCTACTTCTCAAGAAATGGGGTTAGATGTGGGTATTGTAATACCAAATTCTAAATCATGAGCATTTTCTCCACTGTGTATGTGAGGCAAACCATGCATCTTTGAGTGCAGTTTGGCCTGGCCCCTGAAAAGAAAAATGTATCGCCACACTTGCAGTAGGGGTACTATGGTTTGAATGGATACCATCACTCTTTTCTCCACAAACAGTGCAGAGAGCTGTCTGGAGTGGCAGTTTGAACAGATGGCGTTTCCTCTGCTCCTTCCATCACTACAGTAAGTAAAAGAACCATATGGGGAACCTGGGAGTCTGAGGAACTCAGCTGTGCTCAGTAACCACCCTCCCCTCTAGGAAAGCCAGTCCAGATGCAGCTATTCTGGTACCTCTCCTCACATGCACTCTGAATCAGGGTTTTTCAATAAGAACTTCAGAATCAGCAAAAGCTGGGATGACCTCGTCACCTCGATTTGCAAAATTAAAAGAAATAAAACTAGGTTGTCAGTTGTCACTGTAGATAAGCAACACATCTATTAGTGATTGAACTTGTTCTGAGAAATCTTTGGAATGAAAAAACTCAAGTACAAATTAATTGGGAAAGTTAGAATGTCCTTTCTAAAATTTTCCATTCTAAAAATTGATACTATATGAAATAACATAAGCTACTAAACTGCTTTGTACTCTATTAAGAAATAGCTCCTAAAGGTAAAGTCTTGTTTCATAGTTGTTGCACTATATGAAAGCTTTTTTTTTTTAAGTGTAAAACTAGTTCTGTGTAGAAAGGGGGCAATGAGTTACTGACTGAATTTATTTATACAGAGCATTTGTTGCCACCTGTAATTCCAGCCATCCACACACGAGTGTTCTGAGGTGGCACTAGCACATGGGAAGATGAAGTTTCCCTGTTTCTTTACCCTTATTTGTTTGACTGTTCTGATGACAATATAAGATGTTCTTAATAAAGTTTTATGTTCTTTTTGAAATGTGTAGCTTATTTTTGTGGATCTGATTAATTGGATATGGGGTGGAGAGGGGAGAGATTAATGGACTGGGAGGGAGGGAAAGTATTGGAAATATTCTCCACCTTATGGTGGAGAAACCGCAGAGATTGCCTTGTGCTTGGCCAGTGTTTCCCAAACTTCAAGGAACATCAGAATCACCTGTAGGGCTTACTAAACTACAGATTGCTGGGCCGCACCCCAGAGCTTCTGGGGTAAGGCCTGATGGTTTACATTTCTAACAATTTGATGCTGATGCCACTGGGTTTAGGGACCACATTTTGACAACTCTTCTGTAGACCAACTTTTGAAGTCAGTAACTTGCTTCACAATTTAAAATTCCAGGCAATTCCAGGTGGTAAGATAATAAACTACATTATATTGCAAGTTCCTTTCAGGTGGAGAACAAGACCAAATCTTCTTTTGTGACCTGCTCAGTAATGTTTAAGTGCTTTTAAAGAGTGAACAGATTGGTTTAGTAATTTGAACTCCTTTGGCGCACAGGCCGTCTTACCACACCCTGAACTTAAGGCAAAGTGGGGGAATACTAGAAATCTAGGAATCTCTGGCAGTGTTTGCCAAACTTTTTGTTAATCCTCACTTGAGGATATTTTTTTCCATTGTTTTTTTTTTTTAATGGAGAGTGGAAGGGAAGAGAAACATCGATGTGAGAAAGACACATGGATTGGTTGCCCCCACACGCACCCCGGACAGGATTGGGAACAAATCTGCAATCCAGGTATGTGCCCTTGATCGGGGATTGAGCCCATGACCCTTTGATGGGCAGACTCTCCAACCTCTAAGCCACCTCGGCCAGGGCTGCCAGACTTCTTTGATAAGACTTACTTGGGACATTTGCAGACAGGCACTCACCCATTCAATGGGTTATCTTTTCGCTTTTTTTGATGGTATCCTCATTTGAAACATACAAGTTTTTAATTGTGAAGTCCAGAGTATCTATTTTTTCCTTTGTTGCTTGTGCTTTTAGTGTTATATCTAAGAAACCATTGCTTAATTCAAGGTTATAAAAATTAAGTCCTATGTTTTCTTCAGAGTTTTATGTCCACACTATTATTTTAATATTCTCTTTAGAGATGCCCAAAGACCCTTCAGCCAAACAGAAAACAAAGTCAAGAATACATGGTATCGCCCTAGCCGGTTTGCTCAGTGGTTAGAGCGTTGGCCCACACACTGAAGGGTCCCAGGTTTGATTCCAGTCAAGGGCATATACCTCGGTTGCAGGCTCGATCCCACCAGGACCTCATGTGGGAGGCAACCAATCAATGTCTCTCTTCACAACAATGCTTCCCTCTCTCTCTCCCTTCCACTCTCTCTGAAAAGGAATGGAAAAAATATCCTCAGGTGAGGATTTAAAAAAACAAACATGGTGTCATTTACAACTGAGGTAAACAGCTCCCCACCTAGGAGTTCTTACTTTTACAAAATACTTATTTACTTCCCAGTCATGTGGTTGGAAAGGATGTTAGTTCTAAATCTAGTGTGAACAAGGACATTTTTAAAAAAAATACATCTTTTATTGATTTCAGAGAGAGGAAGGGGTACAGAGAGAGAGAAACATCAATGATGAGAGCATCGTCATTGATCGGCTGCCTCCTGCACACCCCCGCCTGGGGATCGAGCCCACAGCCTGGGCATGTGCCCTGACTGGGAATTGAACTGCGATCTCTTGGATCCCAGGTTGATGCTCAATGGCTGAGTCACGTGCAGCTGGGCGGGCTAAGGAATTTGACATTAAATATAGTAGTTTAGGACTATTTGCCGAGCTTGTGCTTTGTACTGGGCAGGAAACTAGGTGCTGGGGGCATAACTGATTATCACCCAGACATGCAAAGAGCTCACAGGCAGTTAGGGACACAGTAACAGGAAACTACAGGGTCACCAGCACTATAAGAGCGGCCCTTAAAAGGCAGCAGGGTTGCATGATGCAGTAAACNAAAGAGCTCACAGGCAGTTAGGGACACAGTAACAGGAAACTACAGGGTCACCAGCACTATAAGAGCGGCCCTTATAAGGCAGCAGGGTTGCATGATCCAGTAAATGGCGTTCTCCAAAACCACGTGCAAAGGCCCTTAGCTGGCAAGAAGATGGTATGTTCTTTTTTTTTTTTTAAATGTATCTTTATTGATTTCAGAGAGAGGAAAGGAGAGGAAGAGAAAAACATCAATGATGAGTCATTGATTGGCTGCCTCCTGCACGCCCCCGACTGGGGATTGAGCCCGCAACCTGGGTGTGTGCCCTGACCGGGAATCAAACCCCGATGGCCTGGATCCTAGGTTGATGCTCAGCCTCTGACCACGCCCGGCCGGGTGGTGTGTTCTGAGAACCACAAAGAGCTCATATGACTGGCTAAGTGAGCAGAGAGCCAAAAGAGTTCAAGAGAAACACGTTCAGTGAGAAGTTAGCCAGAAAGGTAGAGTATCTGTCATGATCAAAGTATATGCTAGGTGCTGTAGACAAAGGGAAGACCCAGCTCCTGCAGCCTGTGGTCTGCAGTCTAAAGTTCAGAATGATGACCCTCATCATTTCTCTTTGATGCTGACACTGGTGTAATTTCACTTCACGCAAACTAGAAGACCAAGTCATTAATAACCTTGGCCTCTCACAATTTACCAAGCCCTAATGGAAGGAAAATAAGTTCTAAACTTGGAGCAACAGAGAGGCTTGGAAACATCATAGTTTAAAATCTACATTGTTTATTTAAAGAGTTTTTTAAAAACATATGGAACACAATTCTAGCCTCTCATTTAAAAAAACTATATGTGTTCCAGAGAAAATTTAAGACAGCCAAACTGTTAATATGTTATGTTCTAGTGTAAATTTTAGACCTAGAAGTAATAAATTTTAGACTTTACCAGAGCAAATGAAAAGCCATTAACAGTGAAATATTACCAAAGGAACAGAAAGTTGTAAAAATGAAAAATCTGGTATCTGACTGGATCAGTATTTACTTTCGCATGCAAAATAGGAATAATCAAATTTTACAAATACACAGTTATGCAGAGGATTGTGGGAAAACAAGGACACACATACTTGAGCCTTCTTCCAAATCAGCAGTACAGACACCTAGAAAGGAGTACACCCCTCAGAGGCCTCAAGTCCCTTACAAAAGAAAGTGACAAGCAAGGAAAGCTGCTAATTAAGGGAGGAGAAAATAGCCACCACTCAATGTCCATATCAATCTTTACTACTTACAAGGACCTTTCATATATTTTTGATTCTCAGAACCACTGTGGGAGGTAGGTGGGTTTTATTTACTCATTCTAATGAGATATTTTCTCCATAAATATTGAAGAATGCCAAGAAAAGTTTGCTTTAGGACCCTAGTTTTCATTTACAAAGAAGATAAGAAATTTCTGAAGTCCACCTTTGAATTCTTTTTGGATTCACTCTGACTAAGCAACATTTTTAGTTGAGAGAAGTGTTTCTTTGTTTTGTTCGCACTTTTTGAGGAGCAAGTGGGTGTTGACTGTTGAGATGTAGGTGTTCTGAAAAGAAACATAAAACTACACTTAGGGAAAAAAATAGTAGCAACAACTACACTTAGGTATACTGACAAATGATAGTTTAAAAAGTATTCTTCCTGCTTAGCCTAAATGATTGCTACCAGAAACGTTTTCTACTCTTCTGTACTATGGCCATATACAAGCAGTTGGCTGTATTCAGCAGTCATTACCAAAAACCTCCTCACTAAATAGTCTATAAGCAACATTTATTTGGTATATTGGGTGGTTCTGAAAGCTTCCGCCACGCCTGAAAGAGACGGCTAAAGGTAAAGTGTTGCCAGGTTTGAGTTCCCTTTAAGTCTGACATCAAGATTCATGACAATGCTGAGGACTTTGAAGGATCTCAACCTACACATGTAGGTACCATTCCATTTTATGTTCCCCCCAGAACATAAGCTCCACAGGGCAGGCACTTTGTACTACGAATTGTATATTCCAGTGCTTTTTAACAGTGCCAGGCACAGAGGAGGCTCTCTAAATGTGCCCACTCAATAAATGACTCCCCATCTGGTATGTGTGTATTTACACCTCATTCTATTTTATTCTCTCCACTTGTGTTCTATCCTCAAACCCTTATTTGGGGGTTTGTCAGCCTTCTGCCTCCTTATCTAGAAGATAAATGTAAAACATCTTTCTCATCCCGCACATGTTTAAGAAGGCAGTCTGGGCTAAATGCAAGTGAATTATTTTAAATACACAAAATTTATTCAGTAAGCGGAGATAATCCAGTCCTTTTTGAATTTTGTTATTTATGTTCAATAAACTACCAGACTCAGTTTCTCTTTTGTAACAAATGTTCAAAATTTTCTTTCACAGTTTCTATGGAATTAAATTTACTGACTACCACAGTGACTACAGCACTGAGGATTACTAAAAATAAAACAGTGCCCAGTCATAGTTAATTCAGTATCATTTGACAAATCCCTATTTAGTTAGATCTCCACAAGAATTTCTTTTAGAGGAAATAGCAAGCACAAAGGTTTAGAGCAGGAAAGTAAATTGTGAGTTGTTCAGTTTTCCTGACGCAGAATAAATTAAGGCAAACTAACACAGGCAGACGGACTATGCCGGGCAGTGTGGGCTGGAGGGCCCTGCTGTAGCACTGGCCCACGTGGAACAGAGCGAGGTGCTTCTCATCAGAGCTGTGCTTCAGGAAAAGATCAGACCAGAAAGGTTTAAACAGGAGGACTCAGCAAAAGGTGAATAAAGACCTGAACAGATGGCGGCAGCAGGGAGAAAAGGACGAGAACAGATGTAAACACCACGAAAGTAGCACAGCTAGAAACTGGCGGCGGACCAGACCCGGGCACAGGCAGCAGCCGAGCTGTGCCCGCTGTTCCAGGTCAGGATGCCGAGAAGGGCATGTTTACCCTGAGAGCAGGGGACTTGCGGACGGGCAGGCTGGAGTTGTCATCTGTGGGGACCAGCAGTGGGACGGAGTGGACATATTTAGCAGGCAGGTGGGAACAGGGAGAGGTTACAAGTAGAGGAATGTACCTGGAAGTCATGCAGAGGTGAGACTGAAAGCCATGGGAGTATCTGCTACTAGGGAAGAAAAGGGTATGGAGGAAACTAGGGGCCAAGGCTTGAACTGCATGACAAACTCAGGGACTATACGTAACAGAGGAAAATAAAAAGAAATACTCAGGACTTAACACTGGCAATTCAAATAACTCAATGAATTAAGATACCTGAAAATCAATGCTGGGCTCTTGCCTTTGGAACCAGACACACTATGATTTAGCTTTGCAGAACTTAGAGTCTTTCTCTCTGGTGTCTTCAGGCTGAGTTTACTCGTAGGAGTGGTAGGATTGCTCTTCAGTGCTGATAGAAAGCTTCTACTTTTACCATGATGTTTAACCGCTTTGTTGCATGTTTTACAAGTAATCAACTACCATAAAAAGAAAAAATATTTGGCATGATTTCTCTTATAATTTCCTCCAATCAAGTACATGTTCATTACATTCTTATATGCAAGGATGTAGACCAGGTACTACAGGGTAACAGAGACTCACCCTGGGGAGCTTGTAATCTAGCAGCAGGAATCAGACAAAACTCAAATTAAAAATGAGAAACTCTCCAATAAAAAATTAATGGCTAAACCTTTGTATTTAATTTGAAACATTTTTAAAGATAACAAAGTCTCCACTTTCTCAATGTAAAACTGTTTGGGGGGGAATGGAGGAGACCAGGAATAATACCCTTTAACATCTGGATGGTTCTTTATAATAGCAGTAGACATTTAACATTTTTTGCAGGTGAACTCCAAGCCTTTTCCCAATAAAACATGGCAAAACATTACTGAAAATTTAAGTGACCCCTTCAAATCTTTAGAGATTCTGTAAAATACAGGTCTAAAGCAACTTATAAAACCGATCAAATGAATTCTCATTCTCCTACTTCTTCACTTCATTACCTCTAGAGGTTGCTTCTTTTCAGGATTCATTTTTCAAGAAATGGTCCATTTTCTAGCAAGATGCCTTTCTTTTGCATACCTGACTCACAATGCACAGCATTCAGCTCAGGCCTCAACAAAATTAATACAAACTAGTTTAGATGAGAAGTACTCTGATGTTCATAAGCAGATGAAAATGGAAGATCTGCCTGTATGTCTATGTAAGTTGCTTTATATTCTTTGAAGAGGCTGGATATAGATGAAATAGTTGATTTTATGACAAAGCAAAATGCATTTACCAGTCTGATACTGGTAAACTCCTAAATAAGGCTGGCAATTCAACTGAAGTTATTGGAATTGGGCCAGACATAAACTGTCATAATGTCCAGTGCCTAGCACAGTACCCGGTAATAATGTATCTGACACAGTCTCTATATGATAAACGACAAGTAATTTGATTTTGGTTGTTTTATTCCATTTTATAAATACTTAGCATTATTTAGCGTAAGATAGACCCTCAATAAAGGTTTAATGAATAAACATAAGTACTTAACCTTTGTTGGGCATAAACTTTAAATATATACTCTGACATGGAGGAGGGGATGACTGAAGAAGTGACACTCCTACCTAACAAATAAGCTATTGCTGTTTGAAGAAAAGGACCACTAACTGAAAAAATAATTTAGTGGTAGCCATAGTTCAGGTGAAATCATACTGGCCTGCTCAAGAAATCCTCCAATTTGTAAACATAATTGTACTCAACAATGAGATCTGAGAAAAATTGAGAGCTCATGATATGTGGTGTTAAGTAATAGTAAAAAACAAAAATAAACTGTACTCTTGCTGGAACAGCAATTGCAAGAAAAATATTTATATTTTTACAATCTCAATATACTACTACAAATCTCTGAGTTATGTTCAGGTTGATTCTTAACCTCATTTTGAGTGAAAGTTTAGGAATTGAAATCTTACCAATACACTTTTGGAGTCTTTGTACTTTTGCACAATTTTTGCTTCTTTAAAACTGAGTGTATAATTTCTTGCTTCTCGATTAAGAAGTTTCTGTATTCTGGGTGTCAGTTTGGGCTTGGGTTTGAGGCGCACTCGAGAATTATCCAGAACCAGCAACTGGAAACAGTATGGACATGTTCCTTCAAAAGTACTTTTAGCATCTAAAATTATACAAATGAAATTCATGATTCAACAAATCAGAATATTGTTACCGCAAAAAAACTGCCAATGTTATAAATGTGAAAAAGAACAGTGTATTTAATATAAGCAGATATACATTGTCCATAAGCAAGCTCAGAAGATGAGAATTTATTAAAAGATAAACTGGCATTAATTTATTTTGCAAAACACTGTAACTGTATCCATTCATTCCTTTTAGCACCAGACAAGTAATTCCCCACTCTGTTGCTCATTACTTGTACTAAGTAAAAAAGGCTGTATGTCTCATCTATTTTACAAACACATTAATCACAAAATAACAAATTTTACTATGACTTTGTTTCTTTTCTTTTTTTAAAATAATTAGCACAATTTTATGGTTTGCGGGCTGGGCTTTGTCTTCAGGTAGCTCTCAGTACAAGGTAAAAGACAAAAGACTTGCCTCAGACCCTTTATGCAATCAAGAAAGCATTCATTGACCATTTACCATGCTAGGATGTGGAGACACGAATATGGAAGTGAAACAATTGCTCTCTTTAAAGAACTCACGTTCTAGGGGAGCCCTAAACAAATGAAGACTGGTAAGAACTATAACAGAGTGTGATGTAAATGCCCTGGAAATTATTAAATTCTGCATGGGCGAGCCACAAACACTTCAAATTCAAAGAGAAAGCTTGACAAAGTTTGTCACAGATGACTATACATTCCACCTGTATTTAGAGATGGCACCCAATACAGGTAAAGGGCTTTCAGGTAGAAATAGTGAAAAAGCAAGCATGGCTATGGAGGGAAAGGTGAGGGCATGAAGGTGATGTAGCTGAAAAGGAAAGTGAGCACCACCTATTTATTCAATGAATATTTATTGGTGAGCACTGTGCTGCGTCCCAGGGGTACAACAGCACTACAAAGAGCTAAAAGCACCATGCTTGCAACTTAGCTCTGCCAAATGTAAAATTCATTTATTGAGTGACTGTTAAGTATCAGGCACTCTCTTGGGAGCTGGAGACACAGCAGTGAACAAAGGACAATTCGTGGAGAAAAACAATTAATGAAACAACACCAAATGTTAAGTGCTGGGAAGAAAAAAGACAGGAAAGCTGAATAGGAAGTGATGATGGAGCTGCTATCATCTGAAATAAGGTAGCCAGGGAAGGCTTCCTGGAGTGACATTTGCAGAGACCATCGGAAGTGAGGGACGAAGCCAAGCAGGCATGTGAGGTTGAGTTCCAGGCAGAAGGAAGGGTAAAGGCCATGAAACAGCTCAGTAGTGGTTAAGTGAACAAACGGGAGAGCAGGTCAGAGAGAGAATGCTGGCCTATGACGTAAGGCTTTGTAGTCCTTTTAAAAGATTTAAACTTTTACTCTGAGATGGGAAGTCATTTGAGAGTTTGTAGCAGAGAAGTGACATGATCTAGCTTAGGTTTTTATTAGGCTCGCTTTGACTGCTGGATTGAGAATGGCCTGAAGAAATGCATGGGAGCTGTTGGCAATATGGGAGAAAGTCTGGCGGCGTGGACCAGGGTGGTAAGATGGATGTGGTGAGAAGTGGCTAGATTATGGGTATATTTTAAAACCAACAGGATTGGCTGGCATAGTGGTTTGGGCAGGTATGCTGTTAGGGAGTCAAGACCGGCCCCAAGGTTTGGGGGCTGGTTAACTCTAAAGAGGAGCTATTATTGGCTGAAATGGGAAGAACTGGGTTGGGGGCCGGGGAGGTAAGCTTGGGTTTTGGCCTAATAGACATTCAAAAGTTGTCAAGAAGGCATCTAGGATTCGGTGTATAAATTTCTAAGTCCTCAATATACAAAATTTAAAAGCCGTGAGAGTGGGTGGAAAAGCTGTCACCCAGGAAGTGAGTGCAGCTAGAAAAGAGGTCCAAGGGCAGAGTCCTGGGCACTCCAACAGTTACAGAGACCGGGGAAATTAGGGGGAACGAGTGAGGAAACGATTTCCAGAAGACTCATCAGTGTGTCGAATGCCGCTAGTAGGTCAGGCAAGTCAAGACGCAATAAGCCTGGGGGGCGGTTATGAGGGCAGCGGGGGGACCCGGTTTCTCTCTCGGGTCATCCCGAGTGCTCTGGGCGCGGGAGAGGGGCCCGACCACGACCGACGGCCGTTCTCCTACCGCGTGACGAACTGTAGGCCCAGCTGTAAGAGAGAGAGAGAGAGCCGTGAGGAGCGCGGGACCCGCCTCGCC